CAGTTGTCCTCTACTATCACAGACACAAACGCTCTCTGAATAACAGGAAAGCCTTCACTAAACTTTCTTATGAGTCTCTCTCTCTCTCTCTCTCTCTCTCTCTTTATATCCCGCAGAGGCAAACATTTGAAAAGATGAGGTGCGCTGTGTTTAGCCGTTTGGGATGGATATGCGGTGTTGTCGTACATATGTTTGGCCCTAAGGAGGCAATCACTGCCTTCTTCTATCACCTGTACTGTACTTAATGGCAAATGTAGTTCACATTCAATACAGACCACTGGGATTTGTCTACTGTATTGTGCAATGAATGCCAACTTATTGTCAAATACTACCAACAGTTTTTACTTTATTCATTCAAATCATATCCAAAACTTAAAGTGCATTACTTTTATGACTTAAAGCTCTTTTTGTCACCGATTGTACACTTTTTATTCATACTTTTCGTGTGTAAACACATATTTGATTCCTTCACGCAAACAATTAATAGTTAATGAATTTAAATAATTATATTTTGTTTGAAAAGAAAGCGCCTAATGATTGGTTGAATGTATCGGCAAAATGTATTGCAAATGATATATTTCTTTAACGAATTTGGAAAGCAATTTGTGACAAGTGTTTGCGAACCGCCCGTTCATTATTGCACTGGACGTCCACTACATGTCTATAATATATGCATATCGTATACACAGACACAGTATGGCATTAATGGCATGTAAGCCATCGTCCACTTCAAAGGATGACTTTGAAGTACTATTAGAGTTAACTTTCAGTAATTCATTGCTTCAATGTTGTCGATGTGACCTTCATATTGACAGATGGCTTAAATGGCTTACGGGTTAACTTAATTGCATTTACTTCTTCGCTCACAATACTTATAACTTATAACAACCAAACATTAAACCCATTATTTCTTACACTTTAATACTCTCATTCATATACACTCTATGATGAAAGTAATGCATATTAAATCCAATCAATAATGCATTTATTGGTTATTGATTTGATTCAAACGCACTCTTATGCACACAATTAAATGCATAACTATTAGCATAAAAATTGAAACATCATTTGAATGTGTTATTAATGTTGTGTAAAGTAGTGAACAAATGTTAGTTAAAAAGGGTTGTAAAATGTGTTGTAAATTGTATACAGAATTTGTAAAATGTTTGTCGATTATGAGTGACTGACAATAATTCTCATTTAAGCAGTGATTGAATGGAAATGGGTTTAAGTGTAATGTCAGTAGTTTTAGTTAAGCGGTGAATAGGGCTTGACTTAGGCCTAAAGGCAAAGAAACAATAGTTTAGTGAATGCTTTGTGAGGAACTGGCGATTCTGTTGACCGATAAATCTGATTTAATCCTCCATTCGGCGATCATTTGAGCAAATAATACACAAATATTGGCTTTGGTTATAACTGATGAATACTTGAATGCATGCCTCCTCTCAACTGACACCCGACGGTGCAAATGCTGTCGATGTAGTGTATCAGACACTGGCATCTTAGATGTGAAGTAGGATCGACTCAACACCAGTACTCATCGATATAAGTCATATATCCATTGCATGGCTTTTCTTTTGACAACAATGGCATGTCATGCATAGCCGAGTCAGGCCCTCGTCTTTTTTGCATCCATTGATCTCTTTGTGGCGTTCAAAGCAAAGGAGGCGGTTATGGGTGTTGTCGTTGCGGCTGTCCATAGAAAGAGGATGGACTGGGCTGTACTCCACTCTACTCCGCACAGCTTCTGTTATATAATTTTCAGCTCCGAACACATATTACACTCTATTAAATGCTATATAAATATATTAAAATTCACTTTTCATTACCAAAACTTCACTTTTACTATTATAATATTTTTTTGTATATTTGTTGCAATACTCGTTCATTTACTACAAATACTTAAATACAATGTATTTGTCTTTAAATACACGAACAGACCTCACAAGAAGTGATTTTCAAATTTTTCATACAAATAAATTTAGTTAAGCATTTTTATACAATATTTAAGAAACGTGTGATCCCTAAGGCTTTCGTCATTATAACTATTAATAGTAAAAATTAAGTAAATCAATGAATTCATCCAAACTATAAGAAAATATATATTATTATAAATTATAATTAAACACTTAAATTATTTCCATTTAATCTCTCTATTAATTTCCAATCGATTATACATTGTATATTATAAATATCCGTATCGTACTATTGTGCAAATATTTCATTCATTTTTACCAGTCAAATATGTGTGGCACTTATATTAACTAATATTTATTTAAATTGCGTTATCTTAAATATTATATGTATTTAAATTAACATTTAATCAAAAGATTTTACATTACATGTATCAATGTTTGCAAATATTATTTTTTATATAAATATTACAAATTATGCTTTAATTTTTATTCAACTAAATAAATATAATAGGATATAAGTGTTTCTATATTTATCATTAGATTTAATCATTTATTGTATTTCATAATGTTATTGGCTTTTGATTGTAATTTATTGAGTCATTTGTCATCAAAACTAAAAGCAAACAAAAACATTCAGACAAGAAGTACTTTGCATTGGCTTTAACTCAAAATTGTCTTTTTAAAAGCAAAGCATAGAAACGATCAGTTTATCAGTTTCTAGAATCAAAAAAAAAATGTTTGACAATTAACATTTAAAAAAATATATTAACAGACAATTAAATGAATGCAAATTTTGTTATCCGTTGAAAGTTTCAATTAAAGATTTATCTGATTTTGCATTTGAAAACAAAACACTTATAAAATTTTGTTGTTTTAAGTAACTCACAATCGCATCAATCATTAGGTCTAAAGTTATTTACTTAACATTAAATTAAGTGAAGTTAACGACGACTTTATGTTAAAATAAGTATAAAATCACTTGTAAATGAGTGCAAGTGATTAGTTTTCTCCCAGTTTAGAAATGAATGATAAAAATATGTGAAAAGTATAGAATTTTGTGGCAATTCTTTGTTTAGTAGCGGAACTCCACCCGAAAACTTGATCTCATTTGGGGTGTGGTATCTGAGGTTCTGATGGCTATATGTAAAGCTTTATATCAAAGCACAGACACCAGAGTCTATGGAGAGCAACAAACAGTTGTTGGAGATCTCCTCCCAAACTAAAAACCTAAATGACTACTATATGGTGTATGGATTGGTCTCTTTGCGTGATTGCTATACTGATTAAAGTGTTCATTAGATCAATACAATACTGTACTGTATATGCGATATACGGAATATACGGCATAACAATCCTTCAGTGACGGCCAGTGGGCACAGACATCAGTGAACTGAGTATTTTGGTTACGATCACCACTCAAACCAATTCTATATGTGATTCTATATTCACAACACATTTGCAAACATTAGCTTTTGTGGTGTGACTGCCGTCCAGAGCACAAGCACTTGGATGTAAAACACATTTGCAGTACAGCTCTCACACGCATACCATTAATACAATGATAGCACTGATAGCATAGAAATTGATTGTATTAGATGTGAATTAGAAGAAAATTAGTGATTAATAGCATTTATTTGGCGCACATTAGGAACACCCGAGACTCGGAGGTAATCCGTTGGCAATGTTAACGGCTCAGTGCAACAAACTGGCCTCTAAGACACCCCCGCCTTTGGCCGACGCCGCGGTTGGCAAAGGCTTTCATCCGTGGAAGAAAGGCAGCGGCGGTGGCGTCGGCGCCATCGGTACGTCTGGCTCATCGCCCAACTCAGCGCCGGCATCGACTCTACCTCAAAGAGTTCCTACCATTGCTAACAACACTCCGACAACCAGTTTGACGAGTTATCCCCACCAGCGCTCGGTTGCCGTCACCTCCAACTGTGGCACCACCTCATACACGAGCGACAACCTCTTCTATCCGGGCACCGCTGTTACGTCATGTTCGGAAAGCGGACAAACAGCCTTTCTGGGCAAAATGCACTCAGACTCCACTCATTTGGGCTCAATGTATCCCAGAGTTGGTGTCAGCGCTCATCCCTATGAGAACTGGCCATTCAATATGAATTCTGGTCATCCAGCCATCAAACCAGAGGTTACATCAGTGAATACACTCAACTCGTCGTCGTGGTGGGACGTTCACGCGGCTCAGGCGGCCAGCGCTGCCGCCGCCAACAGTTGGCTCGACATGTCGGGCGCCACACCTCTTCACTCACAACTGCAGACCAATTACGCCGGTTCTGCCGACTATGGACTCGGATCGTCATTAGCGGCGGCCACCACTCCGGCCCACTTGTTGTCGTCCGGACAGCACTTACTGCAGGACACGTATAAGATGTTGCCGTCGGCGCAATCAGTGGGCGGCTCGCCGTTTGGTCTGTCGCAACCCCCTCTTCCTCAGGTGCCATCGCCGCGATCGCAACGGCGTTACACCGGACGCGCCACATGTGACTGTCCTAACTGTCAAGAGGCCGAACGGTTAGGTCCCGCCGGAGCCCATCTCCGCAAGAAGAACATTCATAGCTGTCATATTCCCGGTTGTGGTAAAGTATACGGCAAGACATCGCACCTGAAAGCGCACCTTCGCTGGCACACTGGCGAACGACCATTTGTTTGCAATTGGCTTTTCTGCGGCAAACGCTTCACCCGATCCGATGAACTCCAGAGACATTTACGAACCCATACGGGAGAGAAACGGTTCGCGTGTCCCGTCTGTAACAAACGATTCATGCGTTCCGACCATTTGTCTAAACACGTGAAGACACACAATGGCAACGGAACTGATGGCAAGAAGGGTAGCAGTAGTGGTAGTTGTAGTGACTCTGAAAACAGCCAAAGCGAACCCTCTGTCAACTCATCCAGCAATGGGCCGGCAGTCAACTCACAACCGTTGGGTCCGCCGCAGCAAAACTCTGCTAATCATAACCAACACATGACAGGACACGACTCCCAACAACACGACGGAAAGTAAGTGATAATCGATTTCATTGATTGTTTTCTTAGAGCCTTTTGTTTTACCATTTTTTAAATTTATTAAAACTATTATCTATTATAAAACCTTTTTTAAATTTAAAGTTTATAATAAGCTTTAAACTCAATTATAGTTAATCACAATACAGTATTTGTTGTTATTTTTCCTTATTTACGATTATAAATGATTGTAAAAATATTGTATATCTAATTGAAATGTTATTTTGCTTTGTCTTCAGAGTTGCCAAACTATGGACTTAAAGTCAATCAACACAATAGATTGAATGCACATTTAACTCATCCGAACCGTACATTCATTGAACACATTTTCAATACTTCTGGACAATACTCGACCACAAAGAGGATTAGATTGTCATTTGATGGTCTCATATATATTGAGACCCAGATGTAAATTATTTGATTCATTGACCTAAAGTTTGGTCACTTATTAAAGCCATTCTCAAACAATTGTGTTATTTTTAAAGCGAATTATTGTTTTAAATCAATGACCGAATTGTAAATAATAATCATTTTATTGTCGCAATAATAATAATTTTATTAATTAAACAATTAATTTCTTCTTCGCTTTGTATTTGTGGCCAAACAAACAAAACTTATTTTGTTTGCTGTTAAGGGTCTCTGTATTATATTTGCTTCATTCAAATTATAATAAATAAATATTAATTCCAATTCAATACTTATGTTTTTATTTATTTAAAATTTCAATATCAACAGCATGGTGATTCTTGTTTTATTTACCAACAACAAGTAAGTCATTTCTTATAGTTTTATTGTGATATTATGATAAATATTGAATATACAGTTTGTCAGTATTAGTTATAAGGAAATAAATATCAATTAATTTAATAAAATTTTTGTTAGTTAACCATTAGTTTTAACATTATATTAAAAAAATAAATTAAGAGTTTTGCAACTTTCATATTTTAAATCATTAACAGCCAAAAGTAGGCTTTGCCTATATACACCCATAGACTTTACATTAGTTTTAATGCATTAGTGCTATCTGAATGCTATCTGTGGCTGTACCTGTTTTAAATCATAGAAATATCGATTTATGACTTTAATATTTTTTGCATAGTTTTTATTTAAAATATTTTTAGTACTTTATATCTATTAATATACGGTTAATAATAGTAGTTATAATGAGATTGGGTTTAATCAAAAACATTATCGCTTCACTAATCAAAAATGATATTACAATATTTGAAAAATGTTAAAAAGTTATTTCTAATCAATTTGTTATTTCTTGGATTCAATTATTTGAAAACAAAAAGTTTATTTCATGTTTGGGTTAATCTTATAAATAATGGGCAAATCATTTGAGATATAAATCAACGCAAACAACTTATTTGTGAAACCAATAACAATTAGTTTTTCTTAAACAATTATAGAATTATACATTTTAATGGACATATAATATTTCTAGAATTTGATTTATTTATTTAAATATAACTGTTATAATAAACTTAAAATACTTTAAGTGACAACAAATACAGTAGAACTAAAAGTGGGTAATAACTACCAAAACTTAGGATTAACTTTGTTTTCAAAATAGTTTTTAAAAGTGAAGTTTAAATTGAAAATTAAAACAAATAATAGAGAAGAAAAGTATAATTTACTTTAGTGCACGACTAGTGCTTATAACACAATCCATGTAAACATTATTTTTAGTCGTGTATTCTCTGTGAAAAACATTAATCTTGTCTATAATATAATAATTATAAATTGAGTCATTGTTTAATTATTTTATAATTATTAATTTCATTTTTATAACCGTATAATCTATAAAGAAAATGTTGGCAAATAAAACGCGAGATATTGTAAATAATATTCGTTTAGATATTAGTTTTAGAGTTACATTAAATACAAATAAAAATGCAAATAAATATAATAATTATTATTAGAAGAATAGAGAAAATAGAAAAAAGGGAAACAATAAGACTTAAGACAAAACACTGAATATATGAACTGAGAGCTAATGAGACGTTTGATGTAATGCCTCGATAAGTACCAATGCATTGCTATGGCATTGCTTTTGCTATACAAGAAGTAGGAAAGAGTGGAGGGAATGTGTTAAGAGTGGTAGAGTGTGGGTCTGACGGTGCGATCAGGACCCGGATGCTTACCATTGTTTGCATGCAATTTGGTCATCAACGGCGACGACATTT